TAATGTAGGGCTCTACCACCGAGAGACCCTCCAAATTTTGTGTCGATCAGTCAAACGGGAGCGCTACGGCCACTGTTTACTGTATATATTATGAAGACCAACCTAGGCCAATTCAGCTCAAATGAGTTACAAGATGAGGTAGGAAGATGTCCAGCTATCTCACCCATCATACCAATAGCAGCGGGTGGCTCAGTGGGCTAAACGTGTGTGCTTGTCATCAGAGGGTCGCCGGTTCAAACCCAGCTTCGGTGGGTACTTGAGCTAGGCAGCCCAATGTGCACAGCATACTCTCCGTAAAGCAAGCTGAAGAGACGTAAAGGTGTTTTCCCCATGAAGGTCAATGAAGCTTCTATTATTATTAAACCAGCCATTCAGACTGGCTTAAGCACTTCTCCAGAGGGTTCAATTATAATTATTTTTCTTCCCTAACACTGAATGCCCAGCCTAAACCGTAAGTCATAAGCTGACCAAATTTGGCAGTAAGATGCCTATTGCTACCCACTACTCAGCCCCTCCGACCCGTCCCAGTCAGTCAGAGGGGGGCGCCGTTGCGCCCCACAACACGATTTGGTCGATATCTCCTGTACTACTTGTCCTACACTTAAATTTTATTGCCAGTCAAATTCACTATGTCGTGCCAAATCCAGTAACATATACAACTTGGTTCTCCATCTTTGCATTTTTGCATGATTTATATTTGTCTGAAAACAGCTTTTTTCGTTAACCTCCTAGGATTTTCAGCAAACCTACATAAATCTGTTGTCCTTCAAATCAGGAGACAGTCCTTTTAAAGATTTTGAGAAAAAAATGAAACTTTTGGTAAGGTATGGCCACCAGCCACACGCTGACTGTACTGGTGCCACGTCCATTTCAATCCGAGAGCTACATCTCAGGCACGCTTCATCCAATCATTACCAAATTTCTAACTCTGATGAAAGGCTGTACCGCAGAGAGACCCTCCAAATTCCGTGTTGATCAGTCAAACCAGAGCGCTATAGCCACTGTCCATATATGTCTAAGACCCACCTAGTCTAATTCAGCTATAATGAGTTACCAGATCAGGTAGGAAGGTGTCTACCGATCTCACCCGTCTTTCCAACAGCAGCAGGTGGCTCAGTGTGCTAATCCTGTGTGTCTATAATCAGAGGGTCGCTGGTGCAAACCCAGCTTCAGTGGGTATTTCAGCTAGGTAGCCCGATGTGCACAGCGTACTCTCTGACGTCGACTGACCTGTTACGCCTGCACTAGAAGCATCTCCATTATAATTTCTGCCTACTACTTAGACCATCTCACTGAAACCCATCCTACATCTCGTATCCTCCACCTGTCCGATCATCTGAGGCTTTGGACCTGTTCATAACTGCCTGCAGTTTCTAGTTAGTTTTGTGATTGTTATATTCTTGTTAAAAACCTAATAAATTTAAATTATAAAAAGGTGAGAATGGCTCACTTGACATCATTCCACAGCATGTCTTTAGGGTTAAGGTCTGGGCTCTGACTGGACCAATGCAAAAGGCAGATTTTGTTTCTTGAAACCATTCGGTAGTAGATTTACTTCAATGTATAGGGTCATTGTCCTGTTGCATCACCCAACTTCTACTGAACTTCAACTGGCTTACAGCCACCCTGATATTATCCTGTAGGATACCTTGATAATCTTGAGAATTAATTTTCCCCTTGATGACGGCAAGCTGTCCAAGCCCTGAAGCAGCCAAGCAGCCCAAAATCATGAGTACTTCAATGTACTTCAATGTTTTCACCTTTGTATGTGGTGCCCTTTTTACTGCATATGTAGTGCTCTTAGTTCTCCTCAAACAATTCATTCTTAGTTTCATTAGTCCACAGAACATTTTCCCAGTAGCAGTGTGGCGTGAGAAGATGGTCTTTGGCAAACTTCAGGTATACAATAATATTATTTTTTGATGAGCAGTGGCTTCCTCCATGGTGCCATGGACACCATGCTTGTTCAGTGTTTTATGTATGTTAGACTCATGAACAAAGATGTTAACTGTTCCAATGATGCCTTCAAGCCTTTAGCTGTTACTGTAGGATTCTTCTATTTTTACCTCATTGAGCATTCTACATTGTGTCTTTAGAGTCTTCTTGGTTGGGTGCCCACTTCTAAGGAGAGTAAACTGTCTCCATTTATAGACAATCTATCAGTGGACTAATGCATATCTAGACTATTTGAGGTTATGCTGATCAACAATTCTTGATCACATGCCTTCTCAGATGTTTTTTGCAAGACATGGTTCACATCAGGAGATGATTCTTTTGAACTTCAAACTCAAAATCTTAAAGTGTTATTTATAAGTTGAGGTAGCTATAACTTGTGGGATTCAATAGAATTATAAAGAACATACAATGAATAGAGGAAAAGGAGAATATAGCTTAAAGCAGGGCATGATGAAATTGAGGGGTTAATTATACAATAATGCCAATACTAATTTACTAATGTCTAATAACACAGTGTTGAATATAATGCAGACACTGGACAGGGGAACTGATATGGGATGGGGCGATCTCACTTCATGAAGTTGGCAGAAATCAGGAATTGATAGAGAGATGACCTGCGCCAGAGAACAGGTCGAACTAATACTTTTTCTAATTCTTGTACAACATAGGAAAAAGGGGGGGAGACATGTACTCACTGGCTAACTAGAGCAAATGTCAAAATATGTTGTAGTTACGTAGATGGAAAAGTACAGAAAAGGGGGGCCACACCCCAAAAGGCCTATAAAGACCTAGAGCCGACACCTATGGTTTGAGCATCTTCCTGTACATGCTGAATGTATGTCAGATCGTTGCTCCCTGATTAATCAGAATAAACTGGTGACTTGCAACTACTCCTCGACTGTGCAGTGAATCTCTTCTCATCAACGGACCCGGCGGAGTTCAGACTCCAACACTCACACATCTTATCACATTTCATTGATTGTATTCCAGGTTTGCTAACTCCTGACTCCATTTAGCCTTGAAGTTGAAGTCATTCAATAAATCCAGCCTAGGGATTCACAGACTTTTTCCAAGCTACACTATGAATGTTTGAATGATGTGTTCAATACACAGAAGAACAATACAATAATATGTTATTAGTTAGAAGAGTAAATTGTACATTACTGTAATTTAGATGAACATCACATTTCATGACATAATGCAGGAAACCTCGTAATTCTAAAGGGTACACATACGTTTTCCTGCAACTGTATACCTTTTTGTCATGGTTCCGGGCGGCTCGGACACGAGGACGTGGCATAGTGCACAAAGAAAAAGGTGGACGACCCATTGGCGGCTCCAAGAACACAAAAACGGGGTTTATTAAACAAAACAGAAAACAACAAAACCAAAAAGACCACGAGGGGTGAAAAATTAAAGGGGATTAACAAAGACTAAACAACAAAAAACAAATACAAATCAGAGCATGTGAGCGGAGTGGAGCGGTGCAAATTTCCGCTCCTCGCTCACGATGTTGGCTCCGCCTGCTCTTCCGCTCTAATTCGCACTAAGCCGCTCCGCACAACACCGCTCCTCGCTCCACTAAAATTTCCTCCCGCTTCAGTCAAATTGCTCCACGCGCGCTCCAATTTAAAAGAGGGACAAATAATCTGCATTTCTAACTAATGTCACCTTAAACCGAAGCCTTATATCATAAAGAATTATGAGCAACAGCAACATTGCCACTCAGAAAACATTTATTTTTAAGCAACATATAGGCAACAACGGATAGGTTTGGCAATGGCATTCCACACAAAAATAGGCTTAAAAATAAAGGAGTCAGTGGGCTTAATAGCTTAAAGAATATACAGGCTAAGCAACTAAGTTTTAAATTCCTCAATTTTTTTCTGTTCATGCTGCTGCTGCGTCTCTCTATAAAATAAAATTTCACTGACAGCGTTACGTGAAATAAAAAAAATCCTATTAGACTTACTTTGAATGACTAAACGAATTTATTTGATTACCAATATTTACTTTATAGGCTTTTACACTTTAATTTACTTTATAGACTTGATATGCTACAACCATATAAAACTTATATGCTCTGGCTTCCGCCTGTTCGCGTAGCACACTCTCATGTTTCTGAGAAAAGTGATTCCAAAGTGAGTCTTTACTCACTGAAACAGTTTCACCACATTATTGTTCTTGCTCTACATTATTGTCATCTATATGTTTGATAAGAATAGTACACTTGTATGATTTATCAGTTTCCTTTGTGAAATACTTTGCGAATTCCATCACGGCCAATTTGTGTAACAGTCTTGATAATTGTACCGATGAATTCTAGATAAATTTGGGCACGCCTCAGAATCATAGTGTGAGCGGTATCGGAGCGAAATTGGAGCGAGACAGAGCGACTGCTCCAGTTTAATTAAAAAACCACTCCGCGCTCTGACCAAATTCCGCCCGCTCCGCTCCTCGCTCACGCTCCGCTCCACTACGCTCACATGCTCTGATACACATCTAACACTGAGAATATCTAACATCACAACCATCAAAAACACAAACAACGAACCACTAGAGAACAGAACAGAAGCAGGGACTTAAATACAGAAACCAAAACTGGGTAATAAGACTAACACAGGACAGGTGAGACTAATTAACAGAGACCAGGAAAACAGGGCACCAGTGAAACGAATAAACTCAAAGGAACAAAACAGGGAAACTACTAAGGAATTACCAACACTAAGGAATTACAAACAGGTAAAGACACAAGCAGGGGCACAAGGAACAAAACAAAAACCAACTACAAAATCAGACACAAGAACTAGAGAAACTCAAATGAAACACTAGGGATCAAAATACAAAAACAGAGAAGGTGGGATTCAAACATAGGACCGAAGGGTTCACAGACAACTGGATGCTCAATGTGTTGAGCTATGAGGCTAACAGAAAACAGGAGAAACACAAAGACTAAAATGAAGGACGGGATGACCAGCAACACCTGCTGGCCAAATGGGGAAGGGACACAGTAGGACCACAGGGGCTGACCCTCACACCTTTTAAGTTTTTTGGCTTACTAAAAAGAGCCCATCATTACTAAAAATTCCCATCACTCGTCTGCTGTCTGGGGTAGATTTTGGTGAAAGGAAACCAGTTTATTTTAATAATTTGGCTAGACAACAAAATATTTTCACAAGTGCAAAGCTTGGTTCTTGAATTTGCGCTTCCAGGAGATGCAGTCTACATGTGAGGTTTAAATTTTAGTTGAGATTTTGATATAGAAATTCTGCCGCAGTTACACAGGAAAAACTGCAGAGTCGTTTTTCCAGAGTTAAAATTTTTTTACTCAAAAATAGTTGTTTTTGCTCTATTTTGAGTCTACAGAGTAAAATGTGTCAGTAGAGTGAGAGCTAAATTACAGAGTAACTGTGACTCCTCCCCTAACTGTTCTCGATGCAAGGTGACGAGCGGCTCGAGTTGTGCACCGCATGTACTTCACTCGGTATAGAGTTAAATAATTGGATTGCTGGAGGCCATTTTGATGTGCATTATCCCTGTTCGAACATACTGTAACTGTGGGGACGTAAGGTATTTTCAGCATTTACAGGGGCTAGTTCGGTGTTTTTTTTTCTGTCAGACTCTACAATGTCGATGTTTCAATTCAAAATTCAGTTTAAGAATCATTTTTGACCACCGCGGAGCAGCGTACGATAACTTGTTTCTCTACTAACTGTTCTCCTCCCAAAGTTTAGTTTATCCGCCACTGCTGTTAGTCAAGGCCATCTACCGCTGCTGCTTATATTATCCCAATTCGGACCATATTCGGGACGCAATTTATTTTCAGCAGTTACAGGGTCTAGTCGGTGATTTTTATATCTTTCTGAATCTAGAATGTTGGTGTTTCAATTCAGAGTTCAATTTTTACAGACATTCACATGAGAAACAGTTACCTCTGAAAATAGCTATTGAGCGCCCTGCCTTAAGATAACTATTGGACAGTTATTACATATTTAAAAACACATTAGTGAACAAAGATTATTCATGTTGTGTAGAGTACTCATTAGGCCTGTTGCGATAAACGATAAATCAGTTACTTGCACGATAATTAAAATGAGGTCTATCATTTTTCCTGCGCGATCATTTTCACTTGCATGCTTGTTTGTTTTCGTGTCTCTAACAAATGGGAATATCGGCTCTTTTTAGCAAACCGGCTCATTTGTCTCAGCTCACCAAGAAGAACCGGCTCTTTCGGCTCTTTATAAAAAAACCCGCCACTCTCTTCGTTTAACCTGAGGCTGATTAGCGTGACCTGATTTCAGCTTGTTAAAAATAAGACACCGTCTCGTGGGCGGGGTTTTTCAGAAGACAACGTGTTCTGGTCAAAGTCGTTCTTAGTGTTTAGGCAGCTCAAAAACCCAGACAATTCTATAAACATTAATAAAACAGCTCTTTAACAGGAGCCGGCTCCCATCGTTCACTAAAAAGAGTCGGCTCAAAGAGCCGTCTTGTTCGCGAACGACACATCACTAGTAATGAGGCGTTAACTCTCGTGTCAGTGGGCTCTTTGCACGTCAGCTTCCGCGTTCATGGAAATACGGCTCGCTCATTTCCGGTCTGTATTAGATTTGCTAATATGTTAATTGGACAAATTCTCAATAGCTGAATAGCATCCTATCAAAGTGGCATGAACAGATAATCAGACAATTGATATGGTTTATATTTAATGCCGTTTACAGGACTTGCCCAAACTTATGATCAACGACATACAGTACATCGCTTTTGTAAATCCTTCTCCAAAGTACCAACGAGTAAATTAGAGAATTAGAAGGTTTAAGATGTTTGCCTTGTCTTACATCCACGGATACGGATACATTCGTTCAACTTTTGTGGCTGGCGTTAGCCGTAGCTTACGCTAATAGACGTTACTCCCGGACATTGATAGTGTATGCATGTTGCAATTAAGTAACTATGAACATCCCCAGTCATTCTAGCGGAGAATGTTTAACTTAGTATGTTCTATATGTGCTTAAGTACACATTGCGTTAATCTGTGTTTGCTATTCTTAGTGTCAAACGGGAACAGGAGAGGTATAGGCCTATATAGCTGCTTCAGATCCTTGAAGAAGCACGACAAACATCGTAGTGTAAAAGTATGACAGCACTGGTACTTTGTCAGAGTTCTAATTAAAGCTGTTTAATATTCAGATTTGTGTTATATAGACTCATCAAAGCTTATGATAAACCGCCATAAAACGAGCCACGGAGATGCTGCAGCGAACGCTTTCAGACAATGTTGTGAAAATACGCTGTATAAATAAAATTGAATATTTAGGTACAGTATTATACTGTATTATATAGCGTATTTTAATTATACACAGTCCAGTAATTTAATTTGTATAGCACTGTAATTTGAAAAGCGTTTGAAACGGTTGTACTATATTTTGCAATCAAAATTAGTGACACTGTCCGTTTTATTACCTATTATTCATGTAAGAAATATACACGTGTCAGTTAGACTGAGACATGAAGAAGAAAAAATCGGTTATGATGATCATCCGATTATAATTATCAATTTCGCCCAGGCAGACGTGTTCAATATAAACGGTAAAGTAAAATGTGGCAATAAATTATATGAAACGTGAGTATAAATATGTTGGATTTGCCGAATTTCCCAGAGGTTTGCGTGGAAACTTAAAACTCAATTGTATTTTGAGGATGTGGTGCACTTAGGAAATTATTATTATTGTTTTTTGTTTTTTTTTTAGCTTCTGAAACACAAGTTTATCCTTTCTTGCGCTCAGTTACTCAAACCGGAAGCAAGTGAGCCGTATTTCACACTGGCGGATATGACGTCACTGCGATGTTATTGTTTATCGCAATAATTCCTGAGACAATTTATCGTCCAGCAAAATTTGTTATCGTGACAGGCCTAGTACTAATGAATGTTCTTTTCTTCATGTGACTGTGAGTGTTATCCTTATGTTTAACTTTGTCTTTTTGGTTCCTTCAGGATGCAAACCAACAATGTTGTCAGGGTGAAGTTCAAAGACAGCAAGAAATATATTTTTTCTTCAAAACCATTTACATTTCAGACGTTTTTGGAATGTGGTAAGAGATAAACCTTAACATTGTTAACATCATTAATACTTTTCCCTCTTAAAAATATTTTTAATAGTAATATATTAAGTGCATGATTGTATCTTATGGGGTCAAAACATAACTGTTATAGTTCCTTTGGCATCCCTGGCCTTTTTCAATAAACCTTTGCCATTGGTTTATCTTCCTTCAGTTGCCAAGAAATTTGATCTTCCTACAATGGATGTTAAAGTCTTTGATGACACAAAGACAGAAGTTGATGAGGAAGCATTCGAATATCTGATGACGCGACCAGATCTTGGTGTTCTAGAAATTTTCATCCCAGGTACAGCAAGCCTTAATGGTAAGTTGTTTAAAATGCTTATCAAGTTTTGTGTTTATTCTGAGCAATATTCACCAATTTACCTATTTGCATAGTAGATTTGCTAATATGTTTATTGGACTAATTCTTAATAGCTGAATAGCATCCTATCAAAGTGGCATGAACAGATAATCAGACAATTGATATGGTTTATATTTAAGATTCTTTAAGCTCAAGCTCATTAGGAGATACTGAGGGCACATCAGAATTTGGTGATGTAGCAATGTTGATTAGAAGTCCTCCTGAAAAAAATGAAGCTGAGGAACGTCGTCTTGCCCAAGTAAGGATCACCAATCTTACCTCTGAATTACATCTATATAAAATGACTTAAAAATTAAAGATATTTGGAACTATATACACCTGTCAGTTGTTCATTTCTCAACTCTGCTCAATATTGCATCATTCCCCCTGCAGATGATCGAAGATATTCTAAAGAACAGCCCTGGAGGCGAAAGGGTCATAAACGAATATGCTCGCACTAAAAGTCTGTCAGATGCTCGAAGACGTGACATGGTGAAAATCTTGGTAGCACATTTGACAAATGAACATGGGTAGGTTGTTCATACAGTACTTTGTAAATTGATGTTAATCATGTCATGGGTTATAATTGGTTTTGGTTTGTGTGTGTGTGAAGAACAAGCCCGTCCCGGCGTATGAAGGAAGAATATGCAAAGGGAATCGTATCCCTATTCCCAAACTTGGCTGACCCCAGGAGCAAGCTTGGTTATGTAAGTAGCTGTTGCCTCTCAATCTTTTTGATATTGCAGAGTGAAGACTATCTACATTATAATTGATATGGCATTTATTGCTTTAATCGGGTGTATAACTACTGGGTCTGTGTATTGTCCTGGTCATAGGAGCATTATTACAATGCAACAGATGGAAGTGGATATTTGGCATGGAGAATAAAAACCCTGCAGAAAGAAGCATCTCAGGGACGGATGAAGCACCAACGGGAACCACAAACAGGTGCAAAGATGTTTACTCAATGCTTTTATTAGCTTTGGCTAATATTTATTAGGCTCTATTAACTTTTTTAATTTTACAAATGAATAAACTTGCTTATTTTACTCATCTTAATATTTGTGACTTGTCTTTGAAGTATTCTTTTGTTCTAAATTGGGTAAATTTATATGTCACTCTGGGATATATGTATGTCTTACATGTTATTTCCTGAATTTAGTTTTGGTTTGAATGCATTGTGCTTCGGAATAAAAAGGAACTACAAATGTGGTTTTCATATTGTCTTAAACACTTTCAGGTGGGCCAACTGCTGACAGACATCCATACAAAGAAGACAGCTGCTTGACTGATGACCGTCA